GTTGTTAAAAAGTCTTTCTCCAACCCGGTTACATTCTTCTTCATATGATCCAGATTCTCTTACTGTTTTCTCAGCATGCAGATTGAATAAGTGTGGTGAGAAGCCTCAGCCCTGATGCACACCTTTCCTAATTTTGGACCATGCCGTATTTCCTTGTTCTGTTTGTACAATTGCCTCTTCATCCATGTACTGAGTAAACATGAGTATAATTAAGTGTCCTGGAATTCCCTTTCTTCTTCTCATGGCTATCCATAGTTTGTTATGGTCCACACAGCCGAATGCCTTGGCACAGTCAATAAATCTACTACTAGTCAACATTGAATTGGTTCAAGAGGTGGAATATAATAAAAAACCAATGACACTGAAGGAAGGTCAAGCTACACAGAACTCATTAGCCCAACCCTCCCATATATATACATACAGTGTACATGTACAGCACATATACATAGTATATGCATACAATGTACACTTATATACACATACACAGTATATTGTTTTTCTATACATACATATGTATGCTAAAACTTAATTTATACATTAGGCACAGTAAGAGATTATCTTACGCTCAACTCTCACTGCCATCGAGTCAGTGCTGACTCATGGCGACCCTCTGTGGATTCAGAGCCTATCAGTGTTTTGGGAGTAGAAAGTCCAGGCTTTCTCCTGCCAAACGACTGGTGGTTGGGCACTGGCGACCTTGTGGGTCGCATCCTAGGGCGTAACCCTGATCCCATTAGGCCTCCATCAATAGTAAGAGCACATTTAGAATAATACACTGAAACCAGTTAGGTGAGATAGGTGAGGTGAGTGATGTAGACATCGTGAGGAAGTGTTAGGCTGCTCTTTGGGGACCTGCGTTGACTGTGGGTAACTGAAACCATGGAAATGAACCCAAACCTACGGGGGTAATGCATGTTTTCTACCTCAAGGAAACATTTGTCTCAAAAATGTACACTGGAAATATTTAGGTTGTTGATTTAAAAATATCCCTAAAAATATTTGATATTTTACTTTCAAAGTGTGGTTTGATTCCTTCCCATGCCCTAAAGAAGTATATTTAAAAGAAAGTTGTTCTTTTGCCCTTTCCCATAATTCATCAGCAATCCTGAGTAGTTCCAGGGACAATTGAGTCTGTTTTACGGAATCAATAGGAGAATTCTATTGCTCCCACCCCACCCCCTCACCCCACACTTTTTCCAGGGTTTCTTTATTTTCTCATTTTCCAAAGTTGCACTGTTTTAGGATAACTTTTTAATAATCAATCAAAGCCCTTATACAAATCAGCTATTTTCCAGCATTTGCTGTTGCCTGGAAGAATTTCCAAGTACTCCTCTTGAAAATAAGAGATCCGTGTAGAGGTTTGATTTATTATCAGTGTGAGAGTTTCAGTAAATATGAGCCCCCAATAAAATGATTAAAAAACAAACAAAATATATATTTTTTGTTAGAATTGTGTGGCCCATTTCTTTTTTTAAAGGGACACTCTCATTTTGTCCTTTTCAGGTTGAACTCAATTATTTAGTCAACTAATAGGCACGTGAGTACTTCTATGGGCTTCTGCAGAAAATATTATTAGGCCTTTATAATAAGCAGACTTTCCTCGTATTAAAAGCAAACAACCAAAGATAGAGCTCAATTAAAGAATGATCCAATATCCATTGTGTCCTGGGACCTACAGAAGTGTCCGTTTCCCTTATACTATCAATTTGGTCAACATTAAACCTAATTAAAAATCATAGGACCACCTTGGCTTCCTCCCAGGATCAAGAAGGTGACACTGGGGTCATTTTCTGCTAGATCCCACCTCTGCATTCAAGGGTCGCTTTTGAGACCGCCTCAGAGAAGATTCCCTAAGGGGCAGGCACCAGGACTCCTGTGTGTTGACACAGGGACTGAGCGTGGTCATGCCCCATGGGTCAGCTAGTGGTAAGGTGACCAGACGTCTCCCTTTTGGCAGGACAGTCCAGATTTTTAACAATTTTTCCCCGCGTCCCGTGGCGTTTTAAGAAAGTCCCAATTTTTGGAAAGAATATACGGTTTTCGGCTGCCATGTGGCTGTTCCACCAGGATATGAGTTTTATCAATGGTGTCCCGCTTTACCAATGTTAAAATCTGGTCACCTTAGATTGGGCAGTTCACATATTTTAAAAGTGGGCAAAAAGGCAACACAACATCTCAGATATTTTGTGCCCATATTATGTATGAATTGGCCAGGAGCTAGGCCTTTTTTCTTTTAAGTATATCCATTATCTTATTTTGTCTTCATTGTAGTTCTGAGACAGAGGTATGCTTATCTCCTTAATGACCTACTGACACACTTAGCTTCAGGAGGAGAACTTGTCCAGTTACACAGAAATATGTGTATGTCAGGCGGTGGGGTGGGAGGGCTGCAGGGATGGGATCTGAACCTGTGTGCATCTCACGCTTCTTCTGCTACAGCATTCCTTTTGGTCCTTGTGATTCTGTGGCGGAGCTCATGCCGGTTCCATGTCTATCTCCACCTTCCAGCTGGATTCCCTAGGATGGTGGTGTCAACTCCCGGGCATTGATTGCTCTCTGTAGACAGTCCCTCTGACAGAGAACTGCTGCATGGGGCTTTCTCGGCCCTCAAAGGTCACCAAGTCTTTCTCCCAGTGGGCAGCTGAGGGGGCTCAAACTCACTACTCTGCGTATGAATACTTTCGAGTTATGCCAACAGGGCTTCTTTGGATTTATCATACACGTGTATTATTCATCTCCAAAAGCCTTAATGTGCTATTAGTCACTAATAATGTCTTTACTGGATATAATTCCATAATGTCAGTTCATTCATTCATTCTTTCTTTCTTTCACATAGTGACTCAGATATTTATTTTATTTACAGCAAGCTAACAAACAAACCAAACCAAACCAAAACAAAAAAACTGAACCCATCGCAGCGGATGGAACCAATCCCAACTCTTGGTGGCCCCTGAGCAACAGAATAGACCAATAGAGTTCTCTTGGCTATGGCTAGGATAGATGAGTAAGCACTTATCTACCCGTTGAAAGGTTGGTAGTTCAAATCCACCCAGCGATGCCTTGGAATATAGGACTGGCGATCAGCAGTAGAAGTTCACAGCTTTGAAACCCCATGGAGTGCAGTACTACTCTACTCTGAAACCCACTGTGTCGCCTTGAGTTTGAATCAACTCCAGAGCAACTTACGACAACAATGTTTACATAAGCGTATCACTGTGACACCACTGGGTAGATCTGAACAGCCAACCCTTTAGGTGAGCAGTAGAGCACAAACCATCTGTATCGCCCAGGGACGCAGTTTCAAAGAGATCTTGCACTTCCTGGGAATGAATAATTGCTGCCTTAAAAATAATGATAATGGTAAGTAGTATTTATTGAAGCAATAACTACTACTACCGATAGCATATACTGTGTAGCCTTACTAGGTGTAAGATACTGTGTTGCTTTTAATGTAGCATTTTACTTAAAATTCAGTCACCATACTATTACCATCTCCAATTTTCAGAGACTAGAATTGATGATTAAAGATTAAGAAATTGACACAACTATTAGGGCCAGTGAATTATTTAATGTGTCTCTTCTAGCCAGTGTCTCCAACTCTCAGCACACAATCTTGTCTTGCACGGGTCTGGTAAGAAGATAGGTGAAGATACTGATAGGATTCACCTGTAATTGTGACTAGGATCCCCTTGAAAGCCATCCTGCCGAATATAAAATGACCCTTCTGAGCAGCAGGAAAGGGAATCCCATTACCAGCCAGAGCCAGAGTACTCCAGGGAATCCCATTACCAGCCAGAGCCAGAGTGC